ATATAGATAGATATATAGATATTTAGTTTACTACGTTCCATATGTATGAGATATATATGTAGCATGTCAGGTTTACGAGAGAAGTTCATGTACATGTAGAGTATAACACAAAAAAACACACATAAAAATAAGACACAATAATTACAGACATACCAAGGATGCAATGGACAACCTTATAATTCAGGTTTCATGAAAACATTATTATCTCGCTCCAAGAGTTCATTGTTACAGTAAAGAAAATCTTCAACTGACTAGTAGGCATGTTCAAGAAGAATAAGTTTCTTAATATTTGCTGGACCCAGCTTATCGTAGAGATCAGTGTTTATGGACATTTTTTTAGAAATATTGATCCTGAAACGGGCTTTTCTCATGTAATTACCTGACCTTGTGGGGTAATTGTGTAGGTCGAACTGGATGCCAAATTTAGTAGAATTATTGTGAATATGAAGTATTGTGTTATAATATATACAGGGTTTCCCAAAAGAACCGGAACGGCCAAATATTTCAGCAACGACTTGACATAAAATTATGAAATTTGGTATACGGGGGTAATCGGTTGTGCTGGATCTAAAAATAATATTTGTAACGTTGCCAGCTCTACAGTTTTTTCCATAGAGCCCTCAACTTTATTTTTTTAAATGTAATGCTATGTTTATTTTTAGCGCATTCGATTTGTCGTCTCAAAACTACTATGAGCCTATAATATCAAATTTGTATTCCCTTTATTTTTGTTGATACGACAAATGAACATTTCGTCAAAAAACATCACAAAATTTCAATATTTCGAGAAATCGTGACGATATAACAATAAGAATTAATTTATAAGGAAGTTTTCAACAAGTCTGATCTAAAAATACCATTTACAACGTTGCCAAATCTACATGTTGTTTATACTGAATCTTCCTAAGTAGGTATTTATATTTGAACTGCGTTTTTATTAGATCGTCAAACTCTAGATTTTTTCATTTGTTTCTCGGGAAACTAATTCATAAACTTCTTGATAGCTTCTCATGATCAATAGTGTTTGATTTGTTTAGGTTACAAGAATGTAACTTCATGGCATCAAATAAATTTAAAATCTGCAACTTAACATAAAACACTGTGTCCGCCATTTTTCTCTCTAGTTTGAACTTTTTGCCGTAGTTTTTCTCCTAATTGTGCTTTTCTTGGGATGATTCACTTCTTAACATAAATTTCAGTTTAGGTAGAGTATAGAACAAATCTTTCGCGTAAAAAATCAGAATATCCAGATAATGGCTGATGACAAAAGATGTGCAGTTTTATTTTCATATAGCCGCCCTGAAGGTTTTGCCGCCTGGTGCTATAGCACCCAAAAGACCCTTGGTAAAACCGGCACTGTCTCTTCTGCTCCGTGGAAAAAAAAAAACGAAAATATTTTATACCCCAATTCTATAATATAATATTGTCTTCTATAAACACTAATCTGATCATTCTGCACCAGAACATTTTTTCATGTGATTATATAATGCCCCATTTGAAAAAAATCTTTTTCCGCAAAACCTACAAATACAGGGTTTGTCGCCAGTATGCCGTCGTTCGTGCATCTTCATAGGGGTCCTTTGCGCAAACGCAGATTCGCAATATCGACACTTGAAAGGCTTCTCACCAGTATGGATTCTCACATGCTCTTTCAGCTGATCCTTCCTGCAGAATCCTTTCTTGCAAGTTTCACAATTGAAAGGCTTCTCATCAGTATGAGATATCTCGTGTTCTTTTAATCGTTGCCTCCTCGTGAAGCCTTTGCTGCAAATGCCACACTTGTGACGCTTCTCTTTCGAATGGACGGATGTGTGCATCTTGAGCTCGGCTTCATTTGGGAATGATTTTCTGCATATGTCGCATATCACTGATACAACAAGATTATTCTTTTCGTGGGCATTTCTGGAAATACTGCACGTTTGATAATGGCTGTCTTCGTGGAACTTCAACATGGCGGTAGGAACATTTTTATTACATACGTTGCAAATACTGGTTTGGGCGCCATGACACGTAACATTGTGCCAACACAATGTACTGAATGTTTTGAAATAACTCTTGCATGGAGAACATCTGTAGCTCAGTACCTTCTTAGTATTTCTACCATTCCAAATTTCTTCGAGACGTATCACACTGATGTGTAAACGATTCACATCTTGATGTGCTCTCATGTGCAACTCTATGTCATCGGCTGAAGCACTGATGGATGATTTGCAGATGGAGCATTTCAAAGATTCCAATTGGGTATGCTGCTTCATATGTAGAGTATAAGAAGAGATATTCGTGAAATACATCCGACACATTCTGCAAACAATTGACTTAGGTATTGAAAATGAAGTTCGGGTTCGAAACCTTCTAGATGAATCTCTGGAGTATTCTTTCACTCCTACAAGTTCCTTTTTATCGGACTCGCTTGTTTCGGAATCTCCCATAAGCAGTCTAGAGTCTGAATCGTTTCCTGACGATTCGTCTGGACAGTTTCCTGAGGGTTCGTTAAGGTCTTTAAAATGTACTGAATCCTCGTCTAGTATCAACCTGAAAAATGAAAAGTCACAATGAAATCGAAAAGGTTGTTGATGAAATACAAACTCTTGGATATTTGTTTCATATAGAAACTATGAAGATGAGAGCCAAATCCTCTGAATTTCATCGAGAAAATGTGTCACATAGGACATAGTTTCTAGTTCGGATTTGACGATTCTTCTTAAAAAACAACATGTTTCATTATTATATTGTTATTATTTTATTAAATGATACATTCTTTTACCTACATTAAAAATGATGTTACTACTCGACTAATACAAAAATCGATCACACTAAAACGGTGAGAATGAATTTATACTCCTGTTCGTTGACGGCTTATTATACACTCACCGGCAAAATAAACCGGCCAACAAAAAATCTACGCAAATTGTTCAGCCTGTAACTTTTTTTATCCTTCTTCGATTTCTGTGAAATTTCGATCAAATTATAGATTCATAATCCGGAATGTTAGACTAAATATCAGTTTTCCTGAAAAGCTGATGACTTGATCATTATACAGGGAAATACCGAAGTTACTCCTTCACCATATACTTCTCAACGCCCTGTGGCAAAATTGCGAGATTGAACATGGCTTCATTATGCTTCGGATTGAAGTGTGATCCCTTCTTAACACAAAAGTTTTTGATTCACGCCAATATCTTATTTTTAAAAGAAGATACGAGTGTTTTGAGGAACTATGGCGTTTTTCAACTTTTTTTCCACTAATCAGAACTTACATGAACTTATTGATTAACAACTTCAAGGATCAATATCACATATTTCTACCTTACTTTCTTAGCACTTACCGGAAAATCAATTACAAAAAACAAACAAGAAGCAGACCTGTAGTCAATAACGAGTATGCTCTCCTCGATATTGAATTACAGCATTCAACCGAAGTGGCATCAAATTACTCAAGACGCCTTGAAGAATTGCCTAAAATTCTCCTTGAAGGGCGAATCGTAGCTCTTGAAGAGTATCTGACAAGGCTGGGCGAAGGCGAATGAGCTTCTAGAGGTCACCCCTAAGATAGGTAGATAGGTTTTGAATTATTGTTATTGAAAATTAAACAAATCTATACTTTCTTGAAACACTTGTATCTTCTCTCAAAAAGGAGATATTGACGTTATTCAAGAACCGTTGTATGAAGAAGGAACAAAAGAGGATCACACTTCAATTTAAAACATGATGAAGCATTGAAGCAGAAGGTTGGAGAATGGATCTGAATTATTGTAAATAAAAATTTTAAGAATCCATACTCTCTTGAAACACTTGTATCTTCCTTTAAAAAATGGTTATCGACGTGAACAAAAAACCATAATGTAGAGAAGAGATCACTCTTCAATCTAAAACATAATGAAGCTAAGTTAAACCACTCACCTTTCCCACAGGGCGTTAAGAAGTTGAGGGTGAAAAAGTAACTTTCGTTTTTCCCTGTATAATGATCGAGTCATCAGATTTTCTTAGGAACTAATATTTGGGCTAACATTTGGAAACATGGATCTACGATTTGGTCGGAATTTCACCAAAATCGGACCAGAATTGAAAAAGTTACAGAGCAAACAATTTGGCTAAATTATTTGGTAGCCGGTTTTTTTTGCCGGTGAGGTAGTTCCATCTATCTGAAAGTGAGAAGTTTCGAGATTACGAATCCTCTTCCGGAGAAGCTCCTGAACAAGTCTTCATATGGTTATCCATCACCCCCTTCGAAATGAACCCTCTGAGGCATATTTTGCAAGTGTACGGCCTCTCCCCAGTGTGGGTCCGCTCGTGGATCCTCAACGGCGATCTTTGCGTAAAGGACTTGCCGCAATACTGACACTTGTAAGGTTTCTCCCCAGTGTGCACCCTCTCGTGCTCCTTCAACTGTTCTTTACGAGGAAAGCTCTTATTGCAGATGTCGCAAGTGTGAGGACGGTATCCAGTATGAGTGCGCCTATGGAACTTCAATTTCTCCTTGTTGGAGAGTATCTTCCCGCAAATGTCGCACAGCACCGAAGGGTCCACCCCGGAGGAGTTGTGCTTGCTGAGATTGTGCCTCTTCAGCCCCGTGGAAGAAGTATAGTGCTTGTTGCAAACGGTGCAGTCGTATTTGACCAACGGGCTGCCCGTAACCAGCTCCCAGTGCTGGGTCCGTCTGTGAGAAGTCAAGAACCACGAGAACATGAAATGTTTACCGCAAATATCGCACTGAAAGGGTTTTTCTCCGGTGTGGAAGTACTTATGCTCGATGGCGTGAGTGCTAACAGTAAATGCCTTGTTGCATATCTCGCACTTGAAGTTCGTAGTGCCTTCGTGCGCTCTCACGTGCATCTCCAGGTGGTAGTTGGAAGAGTTCCTGAAGTCACACAAGTGACAGGAGTATTTGTTGTCTTCGTTGTGGACTTGGGAGTGCAGAGCGAAAGCGACGTTGTTCTTGTAGGTCATGTTGCAGAGGTCGCAGTGGATGGGTTCGTCCAGATCGACCTTGGGGAAGGTACCTCGGTCCAGGGGCTTCGCCTTCTTTTTTTCCGCTTTCTTGTTGAGGCAGTCCAGGATGTTGGCGGCTGCAGGAGGTGGACGATCGGAGGGTATCTCGATGGGGACTTGTGGGGGTGGGGGCTGGAATTGGTTGGCGGTGAGACCGTTGAAGGGGTTGAAGTGTGAGAATTTGAGCGAGTTGTTGACGGTGAAATTGAGATCGGTCGGTTCCTGTTTTATCGGGGTGATTGTCATTCCAGGGCCGTATAAAAGCCTGGTCAAGATGGCTGGGTCGAAAAACCTAAAACAAAACCGTCGTGAGTACTTCCGAGGGCGTTTAACAAGGCAACGAACTATTCAGTTTCTACTTACATAGCTACAATACCAAAAGTACTACTTCTTAATTAGTTAATCAACTTCAGGTTCATCATAAGGTCATTGAATATAGTATAACATGATGAATGAGGACTCACATTATCATCTTGATACTACATAAATAAATAGGCTATAAATAAACAAAAAATACTTTATTTAATAAAGAATCCCGGAATATAATGACAACAAAACTCATGCACAATAAATATATTCGATAACAAGTAACATAAAATTATCTATGTACTCAGACCAAAATCACCCCAGAGCAGCTTTTCATGTGAGAATCTAAAACGCTTTTGCAAATACAACCTTTGCCGCATAAGCGACAAACATATGGTCTCTCCCCCGTATGAATCCTCCTGTGGATCTTTAATGGTGCCCTCTGAGCGAATGCCTTGTCACAGTATTGACAAGCAAACGGTTTCTCCCCTGTATGGATCCTTTCGTGTTCGACTAGCAGTCCCTTTTTGCGAAAACTTTTTCCGCAAGTGGTGCAAGTGTATGGTTTTTCTCCTGTTGAATGTAATTAAAGAATAATGAAAGGTTGGAGGTGGCCTGGAATGTTTTAGTGTCATTTGTTTCAAATGTCATAATTGAAAAAAAAATGAAAATAATGCTTCGATAGGCTATGACAATGAATGAAGGCATCTTCGTTAAGAATGATCTGATGAACAGTTAGATCAAAACATATTAGTGTAGTTTCTAATATTAGGAATATTTTTTAGTCCCTGGGATTGGGGTAGTGACTGGAAAGAAGCAGGAAATAGCTCTCAAGATAAAATAGTGTGTCCATGTCCAACTTCTTGCAAAATTGATATATACAGTGTGACCCACTTCTAATTGAACCACCCCTGTATCTTACGTAATCGTTGGGTAAGGATCCTGAAATTTTCTGGAGCGAGAGATATACAAAAAATGCACTCTATGACCAAGTGGGGTCATCTTCAGTGATATACACTGCTCGCCAACAGCCATGAAACCACCCCAATTTCCGGAAAATGATATTAGGAGTCAAAATAGGTTGAAAATCACGTCGAATTCGGAATCAGGACGCCCAAGTTACTAACTATTCAGAAAAATTAAATTTTTTCTCACTTCTCATGGAAGAACCCCCGTATCTCACGTAATTATTGAGGTAGGGTTCTGAAATTTGCCGGAGGAAGAGAAAGTCCAAAGATAGAGTCAATTGCGTGAGATACGGGGGTGCTTCCATAAAAAATGCGACAAAATTTTATTTTTCCGAACTTAATATTTTCCAGGAAAAATTTGAATAGTTAGTAAATTGGGCGCCCTGATTCCAAATCTGAAGTGATTTTCGACCTATTTTGACTCCTAATATCATTTTCCGGAAATTGGGGTAGTTTCATGGCGAGCAGTGTATATCACTGAAGATGACCCCACTTGGTCATAGAGTGCATTTTTGGTATATCTCTCGCTCCAGAAAATTTCAGGATCCTTACCCAACGATTACGTAAGATACAGGGGTGGTTCCATTAGAAGTGGGTCACACTGTACATATATGTCTGCCATTTGTCAGAATATCAATATTTTGATTTATTGGCCCTATCATATTGTTTTTCGACAAGAAGAATTCAATTGTACGAACAGGATTGAGCTATCTCCGCTCTAAAACTATAGCTCAATTTACAAAGCTAGAGTAATGTCCGCCATCTTTAAAAATTCGAGTCCATTTTTATTCTGTGCTCTAATTAGGCGGGATTTTGTCCTGAAAAAACCAATGGAGTTATCATAATGTGGATTATAAGATTTTTCCTCGGACTAAAAATTTAGAAACAAAAATGTTTTCGAGAATAACTGGCAAAGCAATAGCCCAATTCGCACTTATCTGAAATAAACATTTTGAATGAAGAACAAAAAAGAAAGAAAATGCAGAAAAATATACCATTTTAGAAATTTTGGATTATCAGCCAGGATATCACACAGAGTTGGTTGAATGGGAGTAAAGTAGCGCAATTGTAGGGCCAATAAAATTACTTTCAAAAATCTCTGATATGACCTTTCGTATTTGAGTAATTTTCATGAAACTGATTTTCTGGATTTCCAATTCTATCTTGGTAAGCTAGATATTGTGGCTTTGAAGCGTTTTGAGCGTATTTTAGCCATCATCAAGACATTTTTCGAAAACGAACCTGAATTTTCCATAGATCGAAAACTTCTTCGAACATGAGTATGAACCGATACGAAACTGATGAATACACAAGAGATGTTCAAAAACATTGGCATTCGAGTCTGCGTATTCCAAAAATTACTTGATGATGCCCCAAATAAGCTCTTCCCATATAGCACTAGTACGTCCCGAAAACTTACTGAGAACGTCCAGGGAATGTCCAGATTAGGGCCGTAGACGAACTAGGTACGTACTAGGGGAAGTCCAGATTCCGCGCATTTGTGAATCTCCAGTACGTCCATTCAGGGCCATGAATACCTTTTTCTACTCAGTTGAAAAAGAGATCTAGACAGAGTGGAAAAGATCTTATTCTGAATAAAAAAATTCATCACTCATTGTTTGCTCTTGACACTATTTTATTATCGTGTTTTGGGAGACAGTATTGTCCGGATCCTTCCCGGAGCATCAGTTTGGTCCCGAGGATCCGGGGAGAGTCCGAACTATAGGTACCCAGGCTCTCTTAAAAGATCGGTTGATGCATATATTAGCATAGAGTCAGATGAAACTCCGTCGACCACTACATGGTGAGACCTGTTTGAGAGAAAACTAGCTATCAGAGAACATAGCTGGGGAGCCAAGCCATAAGATGGAAGCGAGGAGTCCGTGGTGCCAGACTTGATCGAATGCTTTGGAGATATCAAGTGCCACGTCTAAGGTTTCACCATATTTTTCAATAGATTGCTGCCATATGTGAGACGTAAGCGAGCAGGTCACCAGTTGATCTCTGATGACGGAAGCCATATTGCCTATCGTTGATAATACCTGAATGTTCCAGGTATTTCATGAGCTCGATGTTGATAGCTTTCTTCATGATTGTGAGAATTGTATCATGTTCATGTTTTCTAGGTTCCTAAATGAAAAGTAATGGACGTTTTCAGTACGTTTTGGAAAGCTCCCGGACGTTCAGACCTAAATCGGACCTAAAATGGACGTTCCCAGAACGTCGATTGCTATATGAGGCATCAAAATCGAAATGAGAACGGCTATTCGAATCGAGTAAAGCGCTCAGATTGGCTACATCACCTGTGTGTGTCCTCTTGTGAAACTTAAGAGTTTCGCTGTTGGCCAAAGTCTTTCCGCACACATCGCAAAGCGGGTTCTCTTTGGGATGCTTGCTGTGCTTTCTGAACACGTGCTTCGTCAACCCCGATTTGGTCCCGAACGACATCTGACAGATGTCGCAAAACCGCGACGTTGCCGACATATCCCCGTCGGCATGGAACAATCTAGTGTGCGTGGTCAGCAGCCAGGAGAACATGAAGTGTTTCTCGCAAATCGAGCAACTGAACGGCATCTCGCCAGAGTGGATGTTTTTGTGTTCAACGGCTTGTACGAACTCGGGGAAACCCAGGTCGCAGAGGTCGCACTGGAAGATCTCTCCGACGTTGCCGTGTGCTCTCATGTGCTTGCTGATGCGCTTCAAGGTGGAGCTTTTGTGTTTGCAGTAGTGGCAGTGGTATTTTTTGTCGGAGGAGTGGGTTATTGAGTGGATAGCGAAATGGAGGCTGGAGTCGATTTTTTCGTCGCACAGTTCACAGGCGAACTTCAAGTGGTTCTCGTTTATTTCAGGGAGTTCTTCTTTTGGTAGGGTGATCTCGGTATCCAATATGTCTGGTTTTGGTGGATGAGGTTTGTGGTTTTTCGTTTTTTTGCGATGTTTCACCTCTGAATTGATGGATTTTTTCAGCTTCGATTTTCGTTTGGTTTTTCGATCCCTAAAAATCAAACTATAAATTAAAATATATCGTGAGTTATTTTCAGAATACACACTAGGTTTCTTTATTTATCAATAGAAAAAAAAACACAATTTCAATAAAAAAAACAATGAAAATTTATAGGAACAATGTGACGACATGTACATAATTTTATTCTATCATATCCTTCAGAGATCACATGAAATTCAATAATATACCGACAGCATCCCGCCATCGCCATAACGTCAGTAACATAGTTATCACAAAAAATCATCAGTTTATTGGCTACAAAATTTCGGGATGCAACAACCTAAATATCGATTTGGACATTTTGACAGATGTCACGTGATCAGTGGTATAGCGGAAAATTGCATGAAGAGTCTATGGAACAAGTGGAAAATGGGGTTATTTGGCCAGGTAACAAAAAAGTTGCTCGAGAAAGTTGATTGGAATTCAATTATATAACCATATACACAGAGTTATAAATACTAGGTATTTGATAAAATTGCAAATCCTTTTTTCAAATAATTCAGATATTTTCACAAATTTTCTGATGGTTTCTTCTGAATATACTAAAAAAATAGCTATTTTCTCGATTTATTGCTTGGTACATAGATATAAAATTGAATTCCATGTAACTGCTTCGAATAACATTTTCGATATCTCACCCCAATATTTGTTATTTTTCTCGATTCGCCAACATAAAAGTTATCAGGTGACATGGGTCACAATCGATCACCCAGATATTTTTTCAATACTTTAATAAACACTGTATACTCGTCTGGCAAAAGAAATCAAGCAAGACAAGGTTTGGCAGTGGTGCTTCATTTTTCTCTTCATCAGATTTTCGCGAGCTTCTAGACATATTCACTTCAAAATATGGTTTCCCTATGAGATGATTTCTTTTGTCATGTATGAGCATCATACTATTGCATCATACCCTTCATAGATCCCAATGACATCCCCAGAATAAACAAATCCCAACAATCTCATTGCAGTACCATCATCGATATACCCATAGTGAAAGGAGAAGATGATGTGGAC